AGAATTGTAGTTGTATCCCCACGAGGTATGTGGGGCGTTGAAATCTTCTATGAGTATGGGAATGCCTGAATAGGTGGTCCTGATATGATGACACAAGAAGCAGGGGTGTTTTGGCCGGGCGTGCTCAGACTGCAACCACCTCTTGCTGTTGATTACACCATCTCTGGAGGTTCACCAGTGTTCGAGGGACATGGTTTGCGACATATATTGCCGCCTTTCCTGGTTTATCTGAGTGAGAGCCTGTTCGTCTATTCGGAATCGAAGGGGTGTGATAGCCAATGAAGTGTGGGAGAGCGCTAAGTTTATTAGATTCCTGTAAGAGGAGCGCCCACACATGAAGTTTGCCGAAAAGAATCTTGGTCTTGAGTTCTCCAACTTTGTTATGGAGCCCTTGGCAATTCCATTGTAGGACGACCGGCTGCTGTTGAGACTTAGCCATGGCGGAGGCAAGTCTCTAACAGCTGTTTCAATTTGTTTAGGGTGTCAAGTACGGCCATCCAATTGGCCGGATCAAAGGTGGTCGTGTTTTCCGTCTGGAGGTGCATAGGAGCAGGCGATATTTGCGTGCCTGCATGTAGTGGCGTAGCTCTGCGTTCTTTACGACGAGCCGTGACGCGCGCCTTCCTCTGGCGAAGAAATTCGATCTGCCGTGACAACTGCGCTATCTCTGTATCCAGATCGTCCTGTGTCACGGGAACTCCGGTTGGCTCTGGGGGATTCCCAGAGGTGAGGTGGGCCGATTGACGACCTCTCTTTCCAGGTCTCTTCAGGGCGGCGGCATACGACGAGGGGCCCTTTAATGCTGTCTCCTCTGCCTCCTCTGGCTGCGTGTTTTCCGCGGACTCCCGCCGAATTCAGAAACCTCACTCAAACTACACTCAAACTGAAGGGCCCCTTCACTTCCTCGAGGAAGGCGCGAGGGCCGGCGCTGGCCAATCGCGAGGACGGATCCGCCGTCGCGTTTGGCCAGCGTCGGCCCTCACGCTTTCCTCGAGGAAGTGGAGGGGCTCTTAGGTTTCTGTTGTTGTTGTAAACTGTTGTACTGTTGTGTTGTAAACTGTTGTAAACTGTAAACTGTTGTAAACTGTTGTAAAGAATAAGTGGCGCGGAGATGTTATTGAGGCGGCCTCGCGCACGGGCTGAGGCCCTCTGCTTGGTCGGGCATTTTGAAGATGTTATTTCGTGTTCATCAGTCTTACAGAGGCCGCATCGGTAGCGTGGCTGGCCCTCTGATGTTGTCATTTCAGGGTCACCGGTTGCTTTTGGACAATATTTTTGCAGGTGCCCCAGTTGATAGCACCGATAACAATACACAGCACGGGGCCGGTAGAGCTTCGGGCGTATAATACATCCGTTATAATAAAAATTTTCTGGTAGGGTCTGAGGGCCTTGTACCGTGACAAGGTAAGTCGTGCTAGCGCCCATGCGGCGAACTGCGAGCACGGTGTGAGTCTGGAATTTCAAGTCCTGTATGATCGTAGCACAAGAGTCGGTGGGGTCTAGGCCGTATACAACGCATCGTTGCACGTTGGGCCCAGATGCGAAGTATGCTTGGACTGACAGTTGGTTGTCGGCATTAATAGGGATTCGGCTAATTGCGCAGATCTTATCGGCGTCTTCTATAGAGGCAAGGTGCACAGTTATGGTGTTCGAGGCCTTGTGGATCACGAACCCTTGATATCCCCGAGTGCCAAGGCACTGGTCTATAACATGTTGTATGCATTTTGTGGGAACGGCGGTGACATCGAACCTCACGGTTGGTCTAATGTGTACGCGGAATGATCGATCGGGAGAGAGGGTCGGGTAAGGACTAATGGAGGGGACCGGGGCGGCCTTCACCTTTTTGGGTGGTGGAATCTCCAACGTGTCGTCCGCCGTCCAGGTTGGAGTGGAAGAATGCTGGCTCGCTCCTCCAGGTAGAGATTCCTGAGAATCCATATCTTGGGTCTGTTCGATAAGGGCGTCAGGTGATGTAGCTGGTTGCTGTGCAAGGGAAGCCATGACTGAATTCAATCGTGAGCTGGACGTGTCATCAAAAAGGGCTCAGCGACTGGAGCGGCGTCGAGGACGGCGCGCTCCCGTCTGCTGTAGGCGCTTGCAGAGCCTCATCCGTTGCCGCCGCGGGTTGCTTTTCTCCGCCGAGGCCAGGTGTAGCCACTCTAGGCCTAACCGCCGACCCAGGTCTTCGGGCGCCGATTTTCAGTATACGTGCCGGTAGAAACGATGATCTGTCTGTGTCAGCCGTGTTCGGTGGTGGTAATACACGCCTGTGCAACTTGTGAGCCCTAGAATGGCCACTGTTCTTTTTAAAACGTGCTAAAACGGCGGGAAGTTCGAAAAGAAGCTGCTCGAACTCCTGACTTCGTCCAGAAAGGCCTGAATCCTGAATGGCTGAGGTGGTGTGAAGGTCGAGAGGTGGTTTTGGCGGTACCTGGCGAGATGCTTCTGCCAGCATCCGTTTTCCGAAACTATGGATCTTATGGGAATTTCAAACTTGTAGGTCTTTGCTGAGAAGAATACTGAAAGGTACTATTTGGAAGGGGAGCCCACGGAACGCTTTAGCTTCTGCAGGTTATGTTTCTCACAAAGTTCTTCCACTTTGGCTCGGAGCCCACCCGATGGTCGCCTTCCCAGTTTGACGTCATTCTTGTTTAGGGCATTGGAGACCTTTTTCTGGAAGGTTCCCCGTTCGAGAGCAACAAACTCTCCTGTCTTGTCTGCCTGCAGTAGAGTGAGGTTCTTTTCTCTCAGTGCCTTCACGGCGGACCGAGTGACGCCGGATCCAGAAGAGCGAGGTGCCGGCCGGCTGCAGACAGCTTGGACAGCAGCTTTTAGGAGCTGCTGTCGATCTTGTTCTGGTATCCTTGCCGCGACTTGATGTGCAGCAGCGAGCTGGTCCAACCTTGAAAAGTGCCCGTCAGCCGCACACTTGGGTTCCTTGGCCAGAAGGTTCATGGTACTGGTGGACAACTTCGTGTCCGAGAGTATGGTTGGGGGACTGTACACCGCCCGGCAGTTCTCTGCTCGCGCGGGGTTGATAGATTGGATCACCTTGGGCCAGGATGATTCAATGAGGCGGTCCGCCTCCCGTAGCAGGAAGATGTATCCGGGGTTCCTCCCGTATGTAGGCCCGAATATTCTGCTCATGATCACGGTGGTTCTGATGAAGCGCAACTCCCGTGACACCTCTTTCCGGGCAACCTGCATGATCTGATGATTGGACGACCAGTTGTTCGACTAGAACCCCAGAAGTTGAGAAATCATCGAATGGGCCAGGTTTTTCCGCACGCACAATCCAAAGGTACGGAGGCGTAGTTGCAGGAGGGCCCGCCGGGAGACGAGCAAAGCCCCCTGCATGAAATCTTGTGGGTTCGAAGTCGGGTGATAGGCTGTTAGTTTGAAGACAAGACATAGACATGAAGCTCACGTGGAGGTTTAAACTTGTACTATTTGAGCGTGTTGGTGCTTTTTAAACATTTATAAAGTGGAGACAATAAGGGAAGATACAGACAGGACAATTTTTCATCTTCAACAACATTTATTTTCGGCTTCAAGCTCAAAACCCGCCCGCTCCGTGGGAGTACGGGAAAAGGAAATCTTGGGGAAAGAAGAGGAAGCGGAGGAAGTGAGTAGGTTGCCAAACGAGGAAGGGAGAGGAGCGAAGGAGGGCTCGACTGGAGGTGCGGGACAACGGAATGGAAGGAAAGGCCGCTTCTGCCGGTGACCTTGTCGCCTTGCCTAGTCTGTCAGCGTTCGGCTTCCATTGTGGGCCTCAGAAAGATAATCTCCTTTCTTGAGAGCGAAATGGAAGGGGTGCTTATGTCTTGCGGGCTTGTCGCCATCCGATAGGTCTCAATTATTTATCTCCCGGCTCGCTCGCAGTGGCCTTCCATGGCTGTCGTGCCGGCGAAATTAGGAGCGCAGCCGGGATATTTTCTCCCGTGAATGACGATCGGGTGCTGAGAATCCGAAGCAGCTCTATCGGCGTCCATTCGATGTTCTAGGAGTCGGTCGTTGAGGCATCGCCCCGTTTGCCCGATGTACCTGGCCTCGCAGGACAGGGGGTCGCGTACACTTTCTCCGTCATGCAGGCGGTGCACTTGCTTGCGTGTTTTTTGGTGCAGCTGGGTTGTGGGGGTCCCTCTCTGTTGACGGCTCTACACATTTCGCCGACTCTCGATTTGCACGTGAAAAGCACTTTTGTGTCGTATCTTGAGGCGAGAGCTTTTAGGCGGTGAGATGTTGTGTGAATGTATGAAATACAGGCTGGTCTTCTGGTGATGGGTGAAGTCTCGGCGGTTGGCCTGGCCCGGGGGTTTGTAGCCGATTTTTGCGAGGTAGCCAAAATCAAATCTGAAGGGTAGCCTGCCCTCCGAAGCCGTGCGCACTGTTGGCTTAGGCTGGCCTCCCGTTGGTGGGCGCAGGGTGGCCGAAATGGATCCCCTTGGATTCGCTTGCCTTTCTTCGGTTTACAGAACGGCTTGCTAAAATATCGAAACTGAAATCGAAACACAACATTCCCCCCTACCTTAATGACATAAGCAAAACCTTAGGCGTGGTGTGAAAAAAGAAAGAAGGTAAAAGTGAAATGCAAATCATGGTTCAAACACTTTCAACAGTTCACTGTCAGTTCCGGTAGCGTGGGGGCTTGAGCCCTCTTGAAGCTCTGGAAGAGTATCGACTGGCTGTTTCCTGACGGTCGTCTTGTCCAGCCGTTCCGATGTTTTTCCTGCTTGCTCTGGGGTGTCTTCAGCTGGAGGATGGAGATCGTCATCTTCATCGTCCACTTTCTCGTGCCACTTCTTAAAGAAACCTGCGTTTCGAGTTATGTCTCTTTCTCGTCGTCTCGCCGTGATCTTTTATCCTTGAACCTTTGTCACCACTTAGGGGTCTGGGTCGAAGTAAGGCGTTAGCTTGTGCTGCTTCTTTTGTTTGCACATTACTATATCCCCTTGTTTCAATGAGTGTTGTCGGGTATGTAGTCGCTCGTCAGTGTATTGCTAAGATTTCCTTTTTTCGGCTTCGTCATCTTGACGCACATTGAAGTCCTGGTTCACTCCGTTGTCTTGGGGTCGTGGTAGTATCGTCTGCATCTGCCTGCCAAAGAGAAGTTCGTACGAAGATCTCTTAGGTGTGGCACGTGGGGTTGCTCTGTAGCACATCAAGAAGTCATCCATGCCCGGCATCCAATCTCTTCCCTGGACAAGCAGAGGCTTGATGGCCTTGGTTAAGGTTCGAACAAAGCGCTCTGCCTCATTGTTGGCTTCAGGCCAAAGTGGTGTCGCCCTGTGATGTTTAAATACCAGTTCGGCTGCAAACTCCTTGAACTCGCTTGAGTTGAAAGGCGGCCCATTGTCGCTCTTGACTTGTTTAGGGATGCCCATTTCAACGAATGTTCGTCTCAGGAATTGCAGAGGTGAGGTCGCATCCGTCGAGGCTACTTGTCCCACCAATGGGAAGCGCGAGTACTCGTCGATAAGAATGAGCAGGTACTTTCCATTCTGAAACGATCCTGCGAATTGGACACGCAGGTTTTCCCATGGCCCATAAGGGAGAGGCGTTGGCTCCACAGGATCACGATGTGATATGGGTGTAGAGGCCTGGCATGGAATACAGTTTTGCACCGCTGGTTCGACCAACATGTCTATCCTGAGAAAACACACCGAGGTGCGGAGGAGTTGCTTGGTCTTTACGATGCCCATGTGGCCCTTGTGCGCAAGCTCAACGGCACGTTGCTGGATACCTGCTGGCAGCACGATCCTTGTGCCTCGAAGAATGATGCCCTCGGGCGTCACGGCAAGCTCTGTCTCAAGGTGTCTGCAGGGTTTAAGTGTGATAGCACTCCACTGGAGATGTCTCTCTGCACCCTTGGCTTGAATGGCTTGTCGTAGCTGGCAGTTGGTTTAGTCTTTTGTTGCTGCCCCGATTACTTGTTTTGTCGTCATCGCTTTTGGTATCGCTGCCTGTGACAGGAAGAGAAGATACTCATCAGGAAGCGTATCTGTCCTGTAACCATTCCGAGTGAACTTCAGCGGGTGGCGTGACACATGTAGTCAGATCGATTCTCTGTGCCCTTTTGATGATGTACTGCAAGGTTGTAGAGCTGAATCCTCAGGCAGAGACGTTCGATTCTTCCAAATGGTCGTGCAGATGGGCTGGTCAGAATGCTGATCAGGGGCTTGTAATCAGTGTGAAGGTTGAACTGAATCCCATACAGATACACTGTGAAGTGTTCGATTGCCCACACGACAGCCAAGGTCTCTTTTTCGATCTGGGAGTAATTGCGCTCCGGATCCGTCAGAAAAGAAAAGAAAAGAAAAGAAAAGAAAAGTGATCGCCTACGGCTTGCGTAGGCGATCACTTGGAGTTCGTCACTATCTCCCTGTGCTAGTATGGCTCCTAGACCTTGCGGACCTACATCCACAGCTAGGTGGGTGGTCTTCTCGCTGTCGAAGTAGTCCAGGGCGTGGCTGCTTGTGAGTGTGTCCTTAAGCTTGTCCAGCACTGCCTGATGCTGCGTGGTCCACTGCCAGTCAACATCTTTCCTTGTGAGGTTGCGAAGAGGTGCGGTGAGGTCCGCCAGGTTGGGGATGAATCTTCCCGAATAGGTGATCATGCCCAGAAGGCTCCTCACTTCTGCTGGACTGTTTGGTGGGGCCACGTTAAGAAACTCTTGGACGTTTGCCGAGTCAGGTTGCGTTCCTTTCGCTGAGAAGATGTGGCCAAAGAATGTCAATTCCCGTTGGGAGAAAGAGCACTGCTTCGGGCTGAGCGTGAGTTCGCAATCCCTGAGGCGTCTTAGCACAGCTTCCAGCGAGTCATTATGTTCTTGGTCTGTTCTTCCATACACTAATATGCCATCACTGATGTTAATGACTACTGGGATGCCAGCGAGCACTTGTCGGACAGTGTTCTGGGACAGCTCTGCAGCAGCATTAATTCCAAAGTTCAAACGCTTGTATCGGTAGAGTCCGATATGGGTTGCAAATGTTGTGATCATCTGGAGTCCTCGTGCAGTACTAGCTGGTGGTATCCGTCGTTGAGATCTAGTTTCGCGAAGACAGACGCGCCATTGAAGCTTGTGACGAGATCATCCAGCGTTGGGGATGCATGCCGCTCTTTGTTGATGGCTTGGTTTGCTCGGCGCATGTCTACACACATCCGAATAGTGTCCGGTGCATGTGGCTTTGGCACAACGACGATGGGAGAGACCCGTGTAGTGGGGTCCGAGGCTTTCTCGATCACATCGAGCTCCTCCAGTGGCCGTACTTCTTTTGTGAGCAGCTCACGTATGTTGAACGGGATGGGCCGTAGCTTCTGCGCCACTGGTGGAATTAATTGATCAATTTGCAGTTTCACTTCAATTCCTGTGAATTTTCCTAGTCCTCTGAATAGCTCTGGGTAAGTCTCTTGGATGCTCTGCAGCAGAAACTTTGTACACGATTGAGACAAGTCCCAGAGCTTCGGGACTTGAAACACAACAGTGACTCACTTGGCGTCCTTGTCACCAATATGGTATCCCGCAATTTGGCGTCCTTGTAGCAGACTTTAGCAGAAAACTTGCCCACTAAAGGAAGTTCTGTTCTTGATCCGCAAGCAAACACGTTTGTTACTGGGCCACTCAGGGTATGTTTGCCTGGGATCTTGCTGTACGTGTCATGGCTGATGACGTTGACCGAAGCTCCTGTGTCCACGATGAAGTCAATGTCACGGTCACCAATGGTCAGTTCGTAACTTTTGGAGCCTTTGAGTTGTTGCGCTGTAGCGTGAAAGCTTGGTCGTCCGAATCAGAGCCCGAACTGTGCTCAACCAACCTGCGAGCCATGTTGGGTACACCTTGTTGGCTTTTTCCTCGGCATACGTCTGCGAAGTGTCCCCGCTTTTTGCATGCTTTACATGTTTTGTTCCTTGTTGGACAGAACTTTCCTTGCTCGTGGGGCCACAGTCCACTACAGTTGAAACACTTTCTTTCAGTTGCAGTTTGTTGCTGCTTTGACGTGTGGGTGGATCTCTACTTCCGAGACTTGTCTTTGCGCATCAAGTGATTACCTGGTCGGTCACGGATGTCTCTATTTGTTTCAGCTCTCGCGAGGTGATTTCGTACGTCCGTCCTTGTGTTAGAATCTTCTCAAGCGTCTCGTAGGTCTGGAGCGCGAAACGTCGTAGTTTCGTGGATGACGTACCGAGTACGATTTGAGATTTTATCTCGGTGTCAGTGTCCGCAAAGGAGCAGTGCCTTGCCATCGCACGGAGGCGCGTCTAGAAGGCATCGATGATCTCACCATCTTGTCGGGTCGTTTTTTGAAAGTTGAAGATTTCGTAGTCTCGGTTAACCCTCGGCGTGAAGTGGTCGTAGAGCAGCTGTTTTCCTTTTTCTTAGTCATCTGGTGATCCAGAGGTGCTTCCCGCTTCGCTTTGACCGGTCTGCCCCGTAGTGGTAACTGCCGTGGTTACGCTGGGTGGGGTTGCCGTCAACGGTGCGAGCGACGCGTACACGTCGTAGCCTTCCTCACCGATGTAGTGGAGCAGCAGAGCCTTCTTTTGCTTTGCATCCTTGACCTTGAGCGCCGTCAACAGATTCTCGAATATGTCGATCCCACGTCGCCACCGATCTCCGAGCGTTGCTGGAGACGAACTGACATCGAAGGCGGGAAAGCCAGCAAAGACGGAGCAAACGCCATCTTGCTTTTGATCCCACGCTGCTTGAAGTTTTAGTAGATCGTTTTCATTTTCCGCGCCGCTCTAAGCTGTCAAACAGCGCATGCGCAACCCGCTACGCTGGGATGCGGAGCGGAGCTCCTGAAACTTGTTTTAGTAAACCGTTTTTTTTTCATCTTGGAGCGTTTTGAGTAGTGTGCCTCCATGTGCGCTCTGCTTAGGGTGGAGACATCTCGCCATTTTGTCCCACACGTTTATCTTTCTTTTTTGTACAGAAGCGCGTGAAAGAGCGTGTCCCTGCACGCGCTTGTGGCGCTGACTGTGCTATGGCGACATTTTGTTTTCGTCGATTTCTTTGTATTTTTCCCGTGAGCGCGTGCTGTCGGCATCGGGTACTACAAAGGATGGCATCACTCTAAACAGAAGAACATCGAGGCACCCTAGTTTTGAGCGTTGGTTTTGAGAGCGATAAAAAAAGCTGCATGCACGGCCCCACACCCGGCCGTTAAAGGGGTATCCACACGAAGGAGAAATCCGCCACTTTCCTCCGCGGATCGCGCATCACGTGACATATACGTCATTCCTTTTTGACTCCTCGCGGCGCCGTCCTTCTCCACAGCGGAGGTGGGGTATCCACACGAAGGAGAAATCCGCCACTTTCCTCCGCGGATCGCGCATCACGTGAGATATACCTCATCCTTTTTTGACGCCTCGCGGCGCCGTCCTCCTCCGTGGCGGAGGCACGGAGGGTTTGTTCTGTCAGCACGAGAGCTCCGCAGGTCGGCCGCGGAGTAGTTTGCATTTAGATGCTTTTAGCGATAATCTTTTGCTTCGTCTGGCCACGAGGGCCATAGTGTTCTTCACGCGCTTTTAGAAATCGCCTCCTCCATTATTGTTGTTGCAGTGCGGTGGTAGAATGGCAAAGTTTAATGACGACGCATCGTTTTTTTTTAATTTCTCTCGTTGAGGAGTTCCCTGCACTGTGGGACATGAGCAGCGAACTGTATTCAAAGACCAACCTCAAGACGTCAATATGGGAGAAAATTGCCGAAGAGACGTTCGCACGGTTCCCGCAATTTGCACCATACACAGTGGGTGAGTGACGTCTTTGTTCAGTGCATAAATGCGCTCTGCGGCTGCTGACGATTCAAACACTATCACAATCTCACAGGACGCTTGACTGTAGTCAAATCACATCACGAGAGCGTGCGGATAAAGGCCCCTACACACATTTGCGTTCGACTGCGTTGCGTCCAGACACTAAAGCGAGTAACCAGCACATCTGTGCTTCGTATGAGGCGTGGAATACCGATCTCACCAAGTGGTCAGCGCGTGCGTGACACCGCCATAACTTTAGTTCACAGGAGGTAGGCTAGAGTGCACGAGGCGGTTCGTGCCGTCTCGTGCTCTACACGCGCAGAGCACCAGGGAGCTTGTCGCACATGCAGAAAGACTAAAGTTCCCTCGATGCATTGTGACAGTGAAGGCGTTGTCAAACTGGCTGGTGAGATCGTTCTGTTCAAGGAATAGCTTTAAGAAGCAGGGATGTCCTGGTTTCTCGCAGCCGCAACGCAGTCAAACGCACTCAAACGCAACTGTGCGCAGGGGATTTTATGTATGCCTGCGGTTCTGCAGTGCGAGTTTTCAATCCAGGTGCTCTCACCGGTAGCGAACGAGCCCGAGCAGGCATATTTCGCTAAAGTTACGTATTAATTATAAGGTTATACATTTAATCAAATTGCAAGTGTCACAGCTTTCACAGAAATAGTGTGGCTTGTGCTTGCCCAGCTCTGACGGTTTTCTTTTTTTTTTTTTATTGTGAACAGATTTTTTGAAAAGATTTCTTCAAAATAAAAGAAGAACGTACCGAGACGAAAGAAAGAAGATTTTGAAAACAAAAAGTGGCCAGGCAGCTGACGAAGCCTACAGCGGAAAATGGAAGTTCTTTTCGGCCATGCGCTTCCTGGATGGAGCGACAACTCGAGCAGGGATGGGGATGTCCAGCTTCGACTTTGCAGGAGTTCCTCTGGGCAGGGTAAGTGTGCTATATGTGTTTGTGCATCCGAAATTTTCCAATCATGCATGACTGCGGTGGCACGTAAATAAGAGCAAGGAACATTTTACATACTAAAACCAGAGATGAATGCTGAAATGGATAAACACGAAACATCTCAACCTCATGATTACAGTCAAGCAGTTATTTATAGATGTCCTTTTTTTTTACCTCTCTCTATAGCTTGGTGAGTCAAAGAGTAACCAGCTTCTAGCCTTATTACAATGTCCTCAAGTGGGAAGAAATGCTTTTTCTTTGCTGCCTTGTACTTTTGTTATTATACCTGTACGCCTTACCGTACAGGCGGGTACCAGAAAGAAGAAAACCATGGAGGAGGTGACAAAACAGTTGGAAATTTTCACCTTTATCAAAATATATTTCATATGACAGGCCCCCCCGCGGTCATTGTTAAAGACACAGCTGTATTTATGACACAATAATGTGCGGGTTTCTAGCAACTGTGTTGGCATGCGGCTGCAGCAGTCTGACGAGGGGAGCCCGGAAGATGTGCTCAGCCCAGCACAGAGCCCTGAACCGAGTCCTGGAGCCGCCTCTGGGGCAGGCCCCTCCTTGACAGGAAAAGAATCGGCGTCTGCACCTCCCAAGAAAAGGAGGGTGCACGGAGCAGAACTGTCCCTCATGGAACAGAGGACGGCAGCCCTTACAAGGCTAACAGAGTGCATGGAAGCACCACAACCAGCACCAGATGACAGTGCTGCGTTTGGCATGGTGGTGGCCGAATATTTACGGTCGATGTCTCTGGCAGCGAGGGCTAGATGCCAGATATCGGTCTTGTCTGCAATCGCTGCACACTTGGATTAAACGTGTCTCAAAGTACCCGTCTGACTTTTTCCATCGCATTGGAAGCAATTGTTCTGGAGTAATACCCTTTACATGGCATAACACTGCAGTTCTTAGATCCTTACGTTTAAATGTAAGTTATTATTGCAGATATTACCAGAGAGCTTGCAGCAAGTTGCAAGCTGCTGACCCCCTCTGCATCGGGTCGATTTTAAGTATTGCTAATGTTTCGCTTCGATATGTTCCTCTCGAACACACAGAAGTTTGGCACGTAAACAAACTTCGACGAACAAATGATTTTAGCTTTTCCTTCTGTTCCATGGTAGCACACATAAAAACTTCAGTCCGAAAAGTGATTCCGTGTTTTTCAGAAAAAATGTAGCATGTACTATTGGGGAAAAATAAAATACGAACAGAAAAACGCGTGGCTCGCGGTACAGGTTGCGCCGCCTGGAAGTGAGCCTAGGGGCAAGGGTGTGTGGCCTACTCCGATGAGTATACGCCCTTCGCTCGGTGCTTCCCAAGCTTAGGCATTGAGGGATTGCACCTCTAGTGCGCTGAAAGCTATCACCGCTATTGTTGCTCACTCGACACGTGCGCCGCGAGGAAGCTCGCCGCTAGTAGCAGCTTGCGCGCGCGCTCAGCCAGCGCGCGCTCTAGCTACGGCGAGCTTCCTCGCGCCGCACACGTCGAGCGAGCAACGATAGCGGTGATAGCCTTCAGGGCACCAAGCGGTGCAATGCCGAAGCTAGGGGAGTGCCGATCGAAGGGCGTACACACATCGGAGTAGGCTACACACCCTTGTCTCTAGGCTCACTTCCAGGTGGCGCAGCCTGTACCGAGAGCCACGCGCTCCTCTGTTCGTATTTCATTTTTCCCCGATAGTACAACAAAAAAGGAAGAATGATGTTGAACTGCAGTCCTTCGTAGAGCTGCGCAAGGCAACGTTTCACAGGGTGTTAAATGCCTGGAGGCACCGACACGGTCGCCTGCTTCCTAAGGTGACTGATGTCAACGCCAGCTTCTTTGTTCTGCCAAGGCACGGCACCTTCTCCACTGAAATAGTTGCAGAGCCTCTCTCGGACAGCTACAGCGAGGGCTCCGGGGCGAGCTTTCGACGGCCTGAGGCTGAAGAAAGTTGGCTTCTTTCCAGGCTCTTTGCTTGTCCTGGGTTGTTCGAGTTGGTCGGGATGTCCCTTCAGGAGATTGTGCAGAACACACACTGCTTGTACCATCGTGCGCACTCTCGCTGGTCTAGCATGCACAGTGGTTAAGAGGAACCGAAACCTATGAGCCAGAATACCGAACGCATTTTCGGTCACACGCCGCGCTCGGGACAACCTGAAATAAATAAATAAAAACAATTGCAGTCATTTGCATCAAAATTGTACCTTAGAGTCAAATTTGTGCACTGAAAACTTCAATGTATCACAGACAAGACGTTGGGTATGCACGAGTATGTGCAACCAAGCTGATTTCATTCCTTTCACTTATCCCGCAGAAACAGGAAGACGTGTAGTCAAGGCGAATATCATTATTGATAAACGAGACAAGGGTGCGTCATTGTTCGTTGTGCCTACTTGCGTGTTTATTTCACCTCGTTTTCTTGTGCGTTTGAAATCCATAAAACTGCAATACGCGAAAATTTAACCATACTGAAAAAAAATATGGGTTCTACGTCGCAAAGCAACTGAGGATATGAGCGACACGTGTACCCCAAAGACTTTTCGGGGAAGAGACCACCCATAGTTCAAACCCTCGTCTTAGTACTCCGGAGGCCAAAACATTACCTCGACGCCATGAAGACGGTCACACCATACTATGCCAAGCGGGTTCGGGCAACATTTATTTAAGAGGTATGTGGTTAACGATTTTTAATAAAACTCACCGGTAGTTGAAGATCTTCTGTTCAGGTGTTAGGCTGTTTCCGCCGAAGGGTTTCATCAAGTTCGATGATAAAGGGAACGCGTCGTCCCCCACGATCACTGGTGGAAGCTGGAGCCCAGACGAAGTGTTCATGTTTACCAGGTCTGGTAGCCCAGAACTCCTGTTTGTGACTGCCTTCTGAAGAGGGGTGGTTTGCCAGATGGCAGCGTCTCCCTTGGAGCCGGGCGTCCCGACGTCGACATACAGGAACTTGCAGCTAGCATCAACAAGTGCAAAAAGAAGGATACTATACGTTTTTTTGTAGTTATAGTAAACAGTTCCGGACTTTGCAGGTTTTATAATGGCGACGTGCTTCCCGTCGATGCCACCCACACAGTTTGGAAACTGCCACCGGTCGCTGAACTGCTGAGCCACCCGCAGCCAGGCGTCCGTCGACTTGGGTGCTGCCAGTTCTTCGTCCTTCAGCATGTCGTAGATCACAGCGCACGTGCTGTGAATTATGTCATTCACAGCGCTGTGGCCGACGCGAAACTGTCGGCTCAGGGAGTGATGGGATTCCCCTAAAAAATCAAAAAACAAATAAGAAATTATTGCGCATTCTGGCTAACGCTAAAGAAGCTCTAATTGCAACTGCATTTATCTTTATCTCGGGAAAATTATTGGATAACAGGATATGACCCCTAACTTATGGATGTTGCACAAGCACCCACCACTCAACAATGAACATTCAAGCTCCGAATGATGGCCTGAGTAAGAAATAAGTAAAGCTAAAATAAATATAAAAAATAATGCTCTTCTAATTGTTATAGCTAATGAAAAAATTGTGTCCAAAATGACACGGATACATCTTCATTTTTTGCCGACAGATAAATGCTTTGATACCCTATGGACAACTGCTATTTTTGGTCGCTGCTGGAGGTAAGCTAGACACGCCAGCTTTGAAGGATCCTAATTGACTGTTTCTTTTTCAACTTAATCGGTTCTCGGTTCCTTCCCAGTATAATCGCAGCAGCACAAAGAAAATTGGTGACTGATTTTAACAAGCACGTACTCACCAGATGCCAAGTATCGCAGTGTCAGCTGGAGACGGGTCTTCGCGCTCACAGGACGCCTCATGTTCGTCGTTTGCCTCTGTATTCGCGGACGGACGCGGGCCAGTAGTTCAACGAAGATGTCATGGGGCACCCGAAGGAGTCTTCGATATTCCATGGAGTCGCTTTCTAGCAGCTCTTCGTACAATTGGTTCTGTATCCCAAGTTCTTTCTTCTCCATCCAATCTTTCACCCAGAACCTTCTTTTAGTGGGTAGAACGTCGTCGTCGTCCGTTTCTAGCAGCGCTGCTGCCATAACGGCATACCGCCGCTTCATCTGCGCCTCCATTTTCCTGTTCTCAAAACTACGGCGCTCGCGCTCTGTTCAGCGTGCTCCGAACGTTGTTGTTGAGAGTGCGACCGCTAAATTCGGCTGGTAACACTGATATCCCTCGTGACTCTTCGCCGTCCGTGTGGATGCTACACTTCGTTTCAGCTTAAGTCCAAACGCAGCTGATGCTACAAGTGCGAGCATGTGGCCCTGAACAGCGCTTGCACTCCATGAGTGCGCGTGCTTGGCAGGGATGTTGAAAGCCGGGAGCTCGCGCTTGTAGCTTCGGCTGCGTATAAAGTATAAAGTCGAGAACGGAGTTTCCCGGGTCGCTGACGTCACGACATCCGTCCGCGGAGTTCTGCGTCGAGTGGAGCCGCGAGGACGGAGTTTTCTGGGTTGCTGACGTCACGACATCCGTCCGCGGAGTTCTCCTTCGTGTGGTATCCACACGAAGGAGAACTCCGCGGACGGATGTCGTGACGTCAACAACCCGGGAAACTCCGTCCCCGGCTCCGCCGCGTGCACCTGCGGAGCTTTTGTGCTGACAGAACGAAGCCTCCGCGCCTCCGCCACGGAGGAGAACGCGCCGCGAGGCGTCAGAAAGGGATGACGTATGTCTCACGTGATGCGCGCTCCGCGGAGGAAAGGGGCGGATTTCTCCTTCGTGTGGATACCCCTTTGAGCTACTGAGATAAGAAAACAAAATGTGAACAGCAAGGGCGTGACAATAGCATGTTCATGAAGGGGTATCCACACGAAGGAGAAATCCGCCACGTTCCTCCGCGGATCGCGCATCACGTGAGACATACGTCATCCCTTTCTGACGCCTCGCGGCGTGTTCTCCTCCGTGGCGGAGGCGCGGAGGCTTTGTGCTGACAGCACGAAAGCTCCGCAAGTGCACGCGGCGGAGCCGGGGACGGAGTTTCCCGGGATGTTGACGTCACGACATCTGTCCCCGGAGTTCTCCTTCGTGCGGATAAACCTTGAAGGGGTATCAACTCGAAGGAGAAATCCGCCACTTTCCTCCGCGGATCGCGCATCACGTGAGACATACGTCATACCTTTTTGACGCCTCGCGGCGCGTTCTCCTCCGTGGCGGAGGCGCGGAGGCCTTGTGCTGACAGCACGAAAGCTCCGCAAGTGCACGCGGCGGAGCCGGGGACGGAGTTTCCCGGGATGTTGACGTCACGACATCTGTCTGCGGAGTTCTCCTTCGTGTGGATACCCCTTGAAGAGAGTAAAATAGGGCTAAGGGCATGGTAAAGTATAACAAACAAAAAGGAACCACAGGCGTGCACCCGGAGAACTGACGTATCGACGGGGGAGGGGGGAACCTTGTACGGGTGAGAGGGAAAAATTAGATGTCATATTTTTTAGACAAGGAAGACGAAAAGGAAATATTCAAGAAAAGAAAACAAAGAAAGAAGGAAGCTGCGTGATTGCTATGTATACAAGGCTAGGCTAGCAAGTCGATATAATGCAGCGCCGCAGTTCTCTGCCAAGTAAATTTTTAGTGGCCAGGTTAAGCTGGCGAGAGATCGAAGATGTGGTTTGTCTGAGGAATGCCAGGAAGCGCCGTAGTTTTTGTATCGTTTAAATACAAAAAGATAAAAAGGACAGAGAAGCAAATCGGTGTGGCCATGGCTGCTGCTGTCGGTTGGAACAGCGCGTGCCCTTTTTTATTCGCACGTGAAGCCAGCCCCCCGTGCTGCTTGGTCGTGTTAGAAGCAAAAAAAAAAAA